TACAAAATAGAATTTCCCCCATGCTGGTTCTTCTACCTTTTGAAGGATTAAGTTTTCTTTAAGTCAAGTCAAGAAATTATTGTCTCTTCTTTTAGCGGAGCTCTATCAGACACCCACATCATTGAAGTTTCCCATCACTTTTATGTATCATGCCTCTAAACCACGTGTGTGATGTTTCCTAAACCCATTTATTTGTATCTCCATTGATCTTCACCTAAATCCTTTCAGCCATGTTCCCCTCCCTTACCAGATTTCCCCGCATGAAAATATATACATAAACAAACCCAGAGAATACATAATATATGCATATATATGTATGTGTATATGTACATATATATAAACATATGTGTGTATATGCAAACCTATGTAAGTCCTGAGTGGAATGTCTCAAAGTGGACACCCTTCTCCCCCGTCATTTAATCTCTGGGTTGTCCCACTGACCCAAGCTGCTCTCATACTGACAGGTCTGAATTCCTAAAGAAACTACATTTAAACTTTCTTAGAGTTCTAGGGGCAATTTTGTGGGAAAAAATACTCCTACTAATCACTATAACTCTGGAGCCCCTACCAGAATGCTTCCATTTACCCCAAACTAGCCATTCACAAAGATAGTATATTAGGTGGGGGGGTTTTTTTGGTTTTTTTTTTAAAGCAATAAGGGTTAAGTAATTTGCCTAGAGTTACACAGCTAGTAAGTATCTGAAGCCGGATTTAAACTCAGGTCGTCTTGATTCCAGGAATGGTGCTTTTATCTACAGCACCATCTCGATGCCCCTTATTAGACCATTTATTTAGCAATAAAGTAAAAGCAATAATTACATCACCGGTATTCATGTAGAGCAAAGGCAGAAATAATAAATATATCACAGTCCACAAATAAGCCTGGGTCACACATTCCCACCAATATCATCAGTATCTTAGGGAGAGAGGGGGCAAACAGAAACCATGGCAAAGAAGTGCACATGTGTAGAAAACCCATTTGCTCAGGGTAACTCACAACTCTAGAAATATAAACGTTGACATCCTCTTTCTGTCTCAGTAACTTTTATAAAAGTTCCTTCATGATCATAACATCTGTATTGAACAGATGTTTTCACTGTTCAGCCAAGTTGATGCATCCTGTGCTTGACTAATCTTTCACTGGTCATTACATCTCCACTGAACCAGTCGATCTGATTCTCTGCTCTCTACCTGGTCCTCTGCTCAGTGAACTCATTCCTCAACAACTGTAGTATCCATAACTTCCACCTTTAGCTGTTTACCTACAGCTAACGTGGCATTATGCTCTTTTAGGAAAAGGTCATGATCACCTTTATTCTAAAGTTTACCAAATCCACTCCAACTCCGTTCCTGTTGGTGTTAAACACTGCACATAACGTCATTGATGTGATGGCTAATTACAGAACTGGTTTTTCTCCACTTTTTTTTTTGTTCTTTGTTGTAGGTGATGGCTCTCTGGGAAGGAGAGGGAAAGAGAGATATTGTGAATTGAAGGTGATATAAAAAATGAAAGATATCAATGATTTAAAAAAAAACAAGGGGTGGCTAGGTGGCGCAGTGGATAGAGCACCAGCCCTGGATTTAGGAGGACCTGAGTTCAAATCTGACCTCAGACACATAACACTTACTAGCTGTGTGACCCTGGGCAAGTCACTTAACCCCATTGCCTAACCAAAAAAAAAAAAAGGAACAAAGACCAAATTTGCTCCCGGAAAAGAAAGAAGAAAACATTCCTCCCTCTGTTCTTTGAAGAAGTGACAGGCTACAGGTGCAGAACATATATATACTGTCCCATTCTATTGTTATGTTGGTTAGTTTTGTTGAACTGGTATTTCCAATTTTTCCTCTGGCATTTGTGACCTTTGTGACCTTGGGAAAGGGTCCTACTCTCTAGGCCTCAGTTTTCTCATCAATAAAATTAAGGAATTGGGGATGAGATCATAGGATTAGAGCTGGAAGTGAACGGATGCATCATCTGGCCAATTCCTTTATTTTATAGATTAGGAAACTGAGACCCAGAGAGATTTAATGGCTTGCCCAAAGTCACACAGCCAATAAGTATCAGAGGTGGGATTTGAACTCAGGTCATCACCCTTGAGCATCTTTGTGATGAGGTCATGACCCTGAGCTTTCAAAGGCACTGCTGGAAGACAGAGGTTCTGGCTGATCCTACCAGGCTGGAAAGGTTTCAGTTATTGGCCCAAAGTTTGCTCTGCAATAGAGAGCGTACTATATCTACTCTGATGAAATCACGCGTCTTGGAAGAAGCAAAGAAGAGTCAAAGTTCTCTTGAGAATTTCATCAGATTGAGAGCTGGAAGGGACCTCACAGGCCATCTGGCCCAACTCCCTTACTTTACAGGTGGGGAAACTGAGGCCAGGAGTTATTTTTTTTTTTTAATGATTTGCCTCAAGTCACTCAAGTAAGAAATTGAAGAGCAATCCGAAGCCAGGGTTTATTCTATTGGGCTCCCTATCCCATTTCAGGATGCTTCTTCAGAAAATTGATGACATCCTGGGAAGTTTCTGAAACCGAATTGAGGTTTCCCATGGAGAAACAACCTGAGATAATGGAAAGAGCATCAGATCCGGAGTCAGGAAGACCTGGGGTGACATCTTGGCTGTGAAATCAGCCAATCATTCAACAAGCATCATTTCTGGGGATACACAGGCAAAGTCAAAAGACAATATCTGCTCTCCAGGAGCTTGGGGTCTTACAACAACTCTGTACAAATGAAATGTATACAGGATAAATTGGAGAGAATCCACAGAGAGAAGGCACTGGCATGAGGAGGGCTAGGGAAAGGCTTCCTGGAGAAAGTGGGACTTTAGCTTGAAGCAGCCGGAGAAACCAGGAGGCTGAGATGAGAAAGAAGAGCATTCCAGGCATGGGGAACTACCAGGGGAAATGCCCAGAGTCAGGAGATAGAGTAGTTTTTTTTTTGTGAGGTACAGGAAGGAGACCAGTGTCCCTGGGTCCCTAAAGTACAGGGAGGCAAGTAAGGAATAAGAAGCCCAGGAAGACAAGGAGGGACCCAGTTGTTTAAAAGTCAAACAGAGGATTTTGTATTTCATCCTGGGAGTGATAGGGAGCCACTGAAATTGAGTGAGTTGGGGAGGAGGGTGATTAGAACTGCACTTTGGGAAGATGCATTTGACCCCTGAGTGAAAGACGGACTAGAATGGGGAGAGACTGGAGGCAGGCAGACCCACCAGAAGGCCCCAGCAATAGTCCAGGTGTGAGGTGAAGAGGGCCTGAGTGGGGGTGGGGTGGGGTGGGGCAGGTCAGAGAAGAGAAAGGGCATATTTGTGTGATATTACAAAGGCAGAAACAGCAGGAATTGGCAAGAGATTAGACAGGGGGGGCAGCGAGGTGGCGCAGTGGATAGAGCACTGGCCCTGAAGTCAGGAGGACCTGAGTTCGAATCCGACCTCAGACCAAACACTTGACATGTACTAGCTGTGTGACCCTGGGCAAGTCACTTAACCCCAATTGCCGAGAGAGAGAGAGAGAGAGAGAGAGAGAGAGAGAGAGAGAGAGAGAGAGAGAGAGAGAAAGAGAGAGAGAGAGAGATAGAGAGAGAGAGAGAGATTAGATATGGAGGAGTGAGAGATCGTGAGAAATCCAAGATTCCTAGGTATCTGGGTGTGCATCTCCGTGACCCAGAGGATGTCATTAGAAAGTGAAAAAGAGGAGACAGCTGAAAATCAGGGGTGGGGAAGATAATGAAATGAGCACTTACTAAGAGCCTACTGTTGGCTAGAAATGAGAGATACAAATACAAAAGGTAAAACTGTCTCCGCTCAAAGAGTGCACATTCTGCTGGGGGATATGACATTTTCACAACTAGGTGCTTAATTTTGTTGTTGAGTAGTGTCTGATTCTCCATGACCCCATTTGGGGTTCTCTTGGCAAAGATACTGGAATTGCTACTTCCTTCTCCAACTCATTTTATAGATGAGGAAACTGATGCAAATCAGATAAAGTGAAGTGACTTGCCCAGGGTCATACAGCTAGTAAATGTCTGAGGCCAGATTTGAATTCTGGAAGATGAGTCTTTCTGACCCCAAGACCCAGTACTCTATCTGCTCATCACCTAGGTGCCCCCCCCATAATTCCAGTTTATTGATCGATTGAAGTAAATAGAAGATCATGTAAAAATCAGTACAAAGTAACTTCTAACCATTCACTAACAACCTTAGAGGGAAGGGGGGAGGGATCAGAAAAAGTCACTAGCAGGAGGTGTGCTCGAGCTAAGCCTTGAAGAGGGCTGGGGACTTTGGAGACACAGAGAGAACACTCCCTGCTAATGTGACTATGTTTGTCCCCTAAAGTTTTGTGCACTAAAGGGCAGTGGCAAGAACTCTGGCTTGGGAGTTGGAGGACCTGGATTCAAATCCCACCTCTGCCAGTTCTACTGTATGTATGACCTTGGTCAAATTACTTAATTGCCCTAGGCCTCAATTCTGTAAAAATGAACAGATTGGACAAGATAATCTCTAAGGTCTCTCCTAGCTCAAAGGTGAAGTGGAAAGACTGATGGATGTGGAATAGGAAAACCCAGGTTCAATTCTACTGCCTGTGTGATCCTGGGCAAGTCATTTCACCTTGGTGGGCCTCAGTTTCTTCATCTGTAAATGAAAGGGATCTGGCTAGAGATGATCTCTAAGATGGCTTCTAGTTCTAAATCTGCAGTCCTGTGATCCTGGTGGGCACTTTCCACAAAGTTTGAATTTAATTGTCCCTGAGTAAGTCATTTCCTCTGGAAATTGCCTCATCTGTAAAACTGGGCTAATAAATCCTGAGCCTCAGTCTCCTCATCTGTAAAAGAGGGCTTGTAATCCTGGTGCGGCCAGCCTCAAAGGGTTGTTGTGGGGAAAGTGCGTATTAAAAGCTGTTAGAGAAAGGTGGCTGTCCTTACCTTAGCCACCGACCCCAGGACTGGCTGCCTGTGTTTGGCCCCCTCCTTGTACACCGTGTTTGTGTCTTGGTTGCATTGGGTAAAACAGATGTTTTGTTTTGAAAACACCCCAGAGGCCTGAAATCCCTGAAGTGAGCCGGAGGCAGGCGCTAGGTGAGGAGGCAGCTCAGGGGATGCGGCAGGGGCATGCCCACAGCCCCGGGAGAGAGCCGAGCGGGAAGAAGGACCCACCGTTATCAGGCGGAAAAGGCAGCGCCTACTGAGGAGTCAGGGAGATCACATCCCACCCACCCTGAAACCTCACCCACAGCTTCCTAGCATCATCGGTTCAAAGTTTAGCCCTCGTTTTACAAAGGACGACACTTGACGCTCAGAGAAGCTACGCACTTGGCCAAGGTGACCCAACAAATTAGTGGGCGAGTTGGGATTCGAACCCAGCTGCCCACACTCCCAAGTCCAGAGCCTTTCCCACTGCCCGGAGCTGGGGCTGGTAGTGTCAGCACACCCCTTCCCTGACCCAGGCGCTGGGGGGGCGTCCTGGGCACAGGGCTTGGGGCCAGTGCCCAGCCTCACGCTGACTTCAGCGAATCTCCCGGCTGGGACCGCAGACCGGTCTGCCTCCCTCCTTCGGGAGCCAGGACTGGTCGGGCCTCAGCCGGTTGCCATGGAGACTGGCGTACACAGGACAGCGGCGCGCGGGGCTCCGGGCTGGCCACCTGCCTCTGAACCTGAGCAGCGCCCCCCAGCCCGGCTCCTCTCCTCCTCTCCACGGAGGGCGAGGCGCCTCCTCCAGCCACGTAAGTAGAGGGAGGACTCGGGGAAGGAGAGCAGGAAGGGGTGCGGGAGGCGGCGGAAACCCCGCATGGTCAAGGAAGGGGCCCCGTCCAACCCTCGGGGGCCTCTGCACCCCAACCAGGTTCGGGTCCCTCCGGACACACAGGACCCCCAGCCATCTCACCCCCAGCACCACCTCCCTGTCAAGCTTGGGTCCTGTCAGTGTTCTCTGATAGACCGTCCGACGGGAATCCATGTTTGGCCAAATTGGACAGGTGTTTCCCCACCCACCCCATTCACGGCAGATTTTGTTCATTCATTCATTCTCTCCTTTCATGCTTTCATTGTTAGTCAAACATTTATTAAGCTCCTACTACGTGCCAGGCACTGTGCTAAGCACTAGGGATACAAAGAAAGGCTAAACCACCTTCCCTTCCCTCAAGGAGTTCACATTCTAATGGAGGAGATAATAAGTAAATAACCAATATTTGTTAAGCACCTACTATGTGCTAAGCACTGAGGACACAAAGAAAAGCAAAACACAGTCCCTGCCCCCATGGAGCTCAGATTTTAATGGAGGAGACAAAATGCAAACAGCTTTGTACAAACAAAATATAGTCAGGATAAAAGGCAGATAATCCAGATTGGGATGTTAGACTTCTTGAGGGCAAGCACTTTGTCATTTTCCATCTTTATGTCCCCAACACCTAACAGATTGCCCAGTTTGAGACAGTGGTGGTGGAGGGGGAGGAAGATTGTTTGGGATCCTGGACTTAAACACAAAAACTCTTTGTACAGTGAGAGAAATGCTGGATTTGGAGACAGAGGACCCGAGTTCAAAATCCAAGCTCTGCTCCCTTGCTAATCGGCATGGAATTTCTCCTTCCAGGATCTCAGTTTTCTCAACTGTAAAATGGGAAGATGGCCTAGATGACCCCTGAGGTCACTTTCCAGCTCTGAATCTATTATCTTATAACCTGTGCTCCAGCGACAAAGATCAGCAGCTCTTCGGGCACTTATAATTTTAGAGCATTGCCTGGGGACGCTAGGAAGACATGTGCTGATCACCAAGCTATTGTGTGTCAAGAGCAGAAATCGAACTCAGGTCTTCTTAGTGCAAAGCTAGCCCTCTCTGCATTCCTCCATTGCCTCTTGCCCTTTGTATAATATATGTTCAATAAATATTTGCTGGCTTGAAATGCTTATTGACATTAGCAAACATTTAGTGTTCAGTTCCTCTTTGCTCCAGGTACGGTCCCCCTGGGAGATGAGGTGTAAAGTTTGCATTGCGTAGTTGATAGAATTCAAGGGCTTCTGATTCTGTGTTGTTTACCTTCAGACTCAATCTGTGGTTAAATGACTGTATTTTCCTTTCCTTTCGTTCTTCCTTGAAAACGAGCTTGACTCTGTTTGGAAATTAAATAGCACCTCTTTGTCCCCTTCTGGGGAAATGTAAAATGAATCCCCTCACTTGGCTTAGCATAGCTGGTGGGTCATATGGTCTGGAAGATAATTTGTATAAAAACTATTTCCGTTTGTTGTTTTAGGTAAAAACTGGCAAACAATATTTGGTTCATATATTATATTTCACAATGTTCTGAGATAGGCTGTTGCTCAATACAAAACAGAGTTCCAACCTATTGTAGTTTGGATAACCCACATTTCTAAGGCACTTAAAGTGATTTTTCATTGGTCAAGATTCATTTTTGTTGTTGATATTTAGAAATTGTCTGACTCTTCATGACCCCATTTGGGGTTTTCTCAGCAGATACTGGAGTGGTTTGCCATTTCCTTCTCCAACTCATTTGACAGATGAGGAAACTGAGGCAAACAGGGTTACATGACTTGCCCAGGGTCACACAGCTAGTGATGTCTGAGGCCAGATTTGAACTCAGGTCTTCCTGACTCCAGGCCACCTAGCTGCCCAAACTCTAATTTTATACTTGAGGAAACTGAGGCCCAGAGAGATTGAGAGATTTAACCAATATGATATAGGTAATAAGTATTGCAGCTGGGAGAGAAAGTCAACTATTCTGACCTTAGGTAAGTCACATCTCTCTTTGCCTCAGTTTCCTCATTAGTTAAATGAGAAGGTTGGCCAAGATGAACTCTAAGGGCCCTTCCATCTCTATGATTCTCTGACTCTATTGGTTTTTCTATCATTTCCCCCCACCAGACCATACTGCCTTTCTAACAGATTAAAAATGTGCTTTTGAATAAATCATCCCAGAGACTTAAGGGGAGTAGGAAAGGAAGTTAACCCAGATTTTTTCTCCCTTCCTTCTTGGCTTCTTCCCCAAACAATTATTTGATGCTGTCATGTGCAGAACAGTATATTAAGCAAAGGAGATATAAGGCTAGAGATGACACAGTCCCCACCTCAGGAGGCTTACGGGCTATTAGCCGCCTGACATCTTTTACTAGAGTCTACCACAATGCATTCATTTCCTCTTTTCCTCTCCCTTTTTTTTTATTCTTTGTTACAAGGGCATTCTGGCGAACAATTTCAATGTCTAAATCACTAGAATTTGGTTGGTTTGTTTTATGTTTGTTTTTAATACTCCAAACATTTCCCTAGGTTTGTCTTACAGAAAAAAATTCTCTCCAATCTTACTTCCAGCAACTATCTCTCCACCACATGCCACACTTACTATCTTCATCACAGCCAGATTCACTTATTTAAAAGTTGTGAGGCTCAGATTCTTAAAACCTAGCCAAAGCTCAGATTCTTGAAATCTGGCCTGCTTACATTAGCAATACAAATACTTAGATTCCTTAAGAGTCTGGCCAATATGGTGGACTCCTAAAATCTTGCCCACCCCCTGATCCATGTTCTAATAAACCTTGTCTTTGGCTGAAAGAAGGCTTGGATCAAATTCATTCAGACAGGACCTATGTGTGGTGATTTTGGGGTCCTAGCTCCCCTAAACTTCAACATTTTGGTGGCCTGTACAGGGAAGCTGCCTAACCTCAAGCTCTTCTCCAGCCAAGACTGGAAAGCATGTAAGCCTCCCCCCCACCCTTTTTTGCCCTGCAGTTGGGGTCACTTTCCAAGCACCTAGGAAGGCTAGGAGGTGCTTTTCAGGTAGACAGTTACGAGGCTGTCTTGAATTCTACCTGGTTCAGTTTGAGGCCATGTTCATGGGTACACCTTCCTAAGCATAGAGGACAAGAATGGATGCCCTATCCAGAAGTGTATGCCCAATTCTGTCAATTCTCTCGATGCTAGGGAATTGGGGAAAACTGCAGGTGCTTTTTGGTTCCCTGAGGCTTACTCACTCCCTTCCCTCTACACCCCTGAATTCTCCTTCATGGGGGTTACAGGGAAAAGTTAGAACAGCTAAAAATATCTTAGCAGATTCTGAAGGTTTTGTGATCGATCATTAAGGAGTTTTGAAACACCTCCTTACAACCCTAGTCACTCCCTTCCCTTGAGTCAGAGGGTGTCTATTAACCCCTCTCATAGCTGAGAGGATAATTTTAGCCTCAGTCTAAGATGGGATGCTCCTGGCTCAGTTTCCCCATTATGTTCCTTTGAAAAGGAATGTTACACACCTGGCTATTCCTGAGTCTGGCTATGAGGTGGATTTGATACTGCTTGGTTGGAAAAGTGCATTATCTGAATTCAAGCAGAGCTAAGGATGTTTTATTCTGAAATATTTGGGCCCTAAGTCTTGTTCCTGCTTTATCCTTTCGTAGCAAATTTCTATAGTCAGAGCAAATACGCAGCAAAAGATATAAGCACAATGCAAGTGTGTGAGATCTTGTGGTTTTGATCTGAATGTGTACTCATTCAATACCCCCAAACAACTGAAATTAAATCAGAAACATCTTCAGTGTGATTTGGGGAAGAGAATTTCAGTGATAATTGAAGTGAAAGTCAGTCTCTTGACAAATTCATTTGTATAACTATTGAACCTGGAGGTGGAAAACTTCTACCTGCAAAAGTGTTACTTAAACTTTAGAAAAAGTAACAAGATAATCCAGCAGGTCAAATGTAAATGATTTTAAATGGGGCTCTTACACTTTTACTTCTCCCTATATCTGGGCCCTGCAGTCTTTTCTGTCAGATTTGTGTCTTCCAGACTACGGGCCATTCGCCTACATCCAGCAAACAGCGGGTACCAGCCAATGTTCCCCCATCATCCCCTGGATCCAGCCTGGGTTCAGTTCCAGTCAACCTTTTCTTTGGGACCCCCTTGAGGCAGGGACAGCTCTATGCCCCTTGACAGTAGGAAGTAGTTTTAGAAGCCAAGACCTTTACCTGTTACCCCAAAAGAATTTGGATTCCATTTGTTTGAGAGGGGAATGATGAGGATGAGGTATGAACCCCTAAAAGGAAAAGACCATGTCTTTGGAAACTGGACCCCAAAAAGTAAAAGCCCCAGACTTTGGCCAAATCTCTGGCATTGCCTGAGGCTATAATCCTATCAACTGGCCTTTCATTATTGCCTATGCCCAATCTCCCAATTTTCTGTTACCCTTAACCTAGCCGAGCCCTCCATTTGTTCATTACCTCCTGATGGGCCCCAGGCATTTCCCGCCCTTAATCCTATCTAGGCTCAGTTCTCCATTGGCCACGTGGTGTAGGTTCCTGGCTTTCTGTTACCTCATTGTCACCCAGCATACTGGCCACTCCCCTCCAGATCCTCCCTAGACCCCTCCTCCAGTAACCGTAATTGATGAATGGTTAAAGGATATGAACAGGCAGTTTTCAGAGGAAGAAATTAAAGCTGTCTATAGTCATATGAAAAAATGTTCTAAATCACTATTGATTAGAGAAATGCAAATCAAAACAACTCTGAAGTGCCATATCACACCTATCAGCTTGGCTAATATGACACAATAGAAAAATGATAAATGTTGGAGAAGATGTGGGAAAATTGGAATACTAATGCATTGTTGTGAGTTGTGAACTGATCAACCATTCTGGACAGCAATTTTGTGCTTTATTTTATTTTAATTATTTTAAGTTTTTATTTGTGTGTGTGTGTGTGTGTGTGTGTGTGTACTCAATAAAAGACAGTTTTCACTGTTAAAAAAAAAAAAGAAAATCTGTTGAGTTAAGCTTCCATGTTTTCATAGCATTCCTCCTTATAGACATAGGAGCTCTCTCAGCTTGGTCAAACAGTCCATCCAAAGCACACCAGAAGTGTGAACTCTGAAGGCCTCAGGAGTGCTTCAACCAGCAAGAGTTAACAGGTTGAACTGCAGGATTCCAGGCCAGGGGAGTCGACACCTTCTCTGGAAGGTCCTCAAGGGGCAGGGCTACCTCCTATAAAAGGGGAGCATCCTGTCCCTCAGACACACTGCCTTGAGTGGAACTGAAGTCTCTTCATCTCTGTTGCTGCAGAAAAGAAGCAATTGGAGAGAGCAGAGCAGCGGCTGCTATGGAGGTGCTGCAGGAATTGCAGAGGGAAATCACCTGCAGCATCTGTTGGAGCCACTTCTCTGAGCCAGTCACTATCGGGTGTGGGCACAGCTTTTGCAGAGTATGTCTCTCCTGGAGCTGGAGACTCAGTGCTGCAGCTTCCTCTTGTCCTGAATGCAGGTGAGTGTCCCAGGTCAGAGAATTCCCAGCAGTCGATGGGCTTCTAGCGCAGCTGACTGACCAGGGCAAACAGCTCTGCTCTCTGCTTTTGCGGAGTGCTGACGGGCAAAGCCAGTGTGCCAGGCACAGGCGAGTCCTCAACTCTTTTGTGAGGATGACCAGATGCTGCTCTGTGTGAGATGTTCCCAAAGCCCGGAATAGGAGGCTCACAAGATCTCTCCTGTAGAGGAGGCTGCTAAGAAATGCAAGGAGAAGCTCCAGCACATTCAGAGTCACTTGAAGAAGCATTTGGAGGAAGCTGAGGAGGAGAGGCCTGCTGCTGACTGGCATACAATGATCAGAAGAGAACATGACAACCTGCATCACTTCCTGATGGAGGAACAATTCCAGTGTGTTGAAAGGGCAAAGCAAAAACAAAGGGCAAGCCGGGACAGACTATCCCAAACATGCAAACCCTTCAGGCCCTCATGCTAGAGCTGCTGGAAGCAGGTCACCAAGCCAATGTGGAGCTGCTCCAGGGTGTCAAGACGCTGTTGGGAAGGAGCGAGGCAGTGTTGTCCCAAAGGGTCAAGGCTATCTTCCCAGAGCTGAGCGAATATGCCATCCCTGGCAGCATAGAGATGCTCCGCCGATTCAGAGTGGACATCACAATGGACCCCGCAGCAGCCAGTCCCTGTGTGACTGTTTCTGAGGATCTGAAGAGTGTGAAGATGGGAGAAGGCTGGCAGGTAGAGACCAAGCATCCTGAAAATTGTGCTTTCCATGCTGTCCTTGCTACACAGGCCTTCAGCTCAGGCAGACCGTACTGCGAGGTAGATGTGACTCAACTACCTGAACGGATGCTGGGGATCTGTACCCCCTACTGGAGGAGGAAAAGGGATAGGGATATGAACGCCGATGACTCTGTGTTCCTGCTTCACTGTGACAAGAAAGAAGAGGGTTATTATTTGCAAACCTATCCCGGATCATTGAAATATCGAATGAAAAACCGAATGCCCAGGATCGGGGTGTTCTTGGAACTTATCTCTGGCACTATAGTCTTTTATAATGTTCTCCAGCGCTTCCTCATTTATAGATTCCACGCTATTCCTTTCGCAGGGCCCGTCAGACCCTTCTTTTCTCCTGGCACCCCACTTCCAGGAACAAAGGCTGGTCCCATGACTCTCTGCCCAGTGGACTCTCATCTTTGTGCTTGCTGCTATTCCTGTCTCTGAGCATCTGTCCAGGAGGAATCCCAACCCTGCACTAGGCTCCCTGGCTGTGGTCCTTCAATTTCCAGCCTTCCCTGCAAGACGATGGTCATCACTTACTTTATGACGAAGGAGATGGCTCCCTGCTCACCGCTGGAGACTTGCCTTCGGCCTTGCAAGCTGAAGGAGATCATTCCCAACTGTTTTGTACTCCGTATCCTCAATTGATCCAGTCTATCAGTTTTTACAATGACTCAATCTTGTTTCAGCAGTAAATAAAAAAAAAACCTCACATGAGCACTCTGGTTCTCTCGTGTTTCATTTTCTCCCTAGAATTCATCACAGCCCTATGAGGTTGATAGATTTCAATCTTGTCCAGTCCTTTTACCCCTTGAACTACTTCCTTTGCACCCTATTTAATATAAAATGAAATAAATTCTAGCATTTACTGTGGGGAAAAAAAAGTTCTAGGGCCTCCCCTCTATTAATTACCTCTTATTTATCCTGTCTATAACATGCTTTATATATGTATACATACACACATATTTGTTGACATGTTGTCTTCTCCATTTGCCTCATTTTGTATTTCTGATGGCTTATCACCAGGTCTCTAGCAGTAGTAGGTGCTTAATAAATGTTTGATTGATTGATTGATTGATTGATCTCATTAATGTCTGGCTTAATAGAAAATACCTAGATTCTCTAATCTGCTTCTGTATTCAAAACTTATATATTGTTTTGGTTGAAGTATAAGAGAAAAATCTGACCTCGTACAGATAGGTAGTTGGAAAATGGAGGAGGATTTTAATAGGTAAATAATGTCTTGGTATTATTATGAAGGCCAGCTGGGTGTTGCAGTGGATAGAGCACTGGACCTAGGGTCAAGAAGACCTCTCTTTCTGAGTTCAAATCTAGCCCAAGGCACTTACTTGCTGTGTGACTCTGAGCAAGTCACTTAACCCTTTTTACCTCAGTTTCCTCATCTGTAGAATGAGCTGGAGGAGGAAATGGCAAACCACTCCAGGATCGTGGCCAAGAAAATCCCAAAATGAGATCATGAAGAGTTAGACAGGACTGAAAAATGATTCAATTCAAATTATTATAAAACTAGTTTTGACCTCTCAGACCCCCTCAGAGGGTCTCAGGGACCCCCAGGGTCCACAGACCACACTCTGAGCACCTCTGTCCTACCTCATACTATACCAAGAATGCAATTGTAATTTAGCCAAGTCACAATCTCTCCCTTCTTTGACAATTTCCACAAATGCTAGACTTTGGACACTATAAATATTACTATGTGGTAGATTCTATTGGCCAAAATAATGTACTACTGAGTAATTTCAAGACTGTCTTTTTGGGAGAGGTAGAATGGGGTAAATTATCTCACATAAAACAGATAAGAAAAGGCTTTTACAGTGGAGGGGAAATGGGGGAAGGTGAGAGGGAATGAGTGAATCTTATTCTCTTTGGATTTGGCTTGAGGAGGGAATAACATACACCCTCAATTGGGTATGGAAATCTATCTTACCCTATAGGAAAACAGGAGGGGGGAAGAGGACAAGAGAGCAGGGGGATGATAGAGGGGAGGGCAGATTGGGGGAGGGGGCAATCAGAAGCAAACACTTCTGAGGAGAGACAGGGTCAAAAGAGAGAATAGAATAAATGGGGGGTGGGATAGGATGAAGGGAAACATAGTTTTTTTACAACATGACTACTATGGAAGTGTTTTGCATGACTACACATGTATAACCTGTATTGAGTTGCTTGCCTTTTCAGTGAGGATTGGTGGGGAGGGAGTAAGGGAGAAAATTGGGAACCCAAAGTTTTAAAAACATGTTAAAAAAAATTGTTTTCACATGCAAATGGGAAATAAGAAATACAGGAAATGGGATATAGAAATCTATCCTGCCCTATAGGAAAATGGAAGGGGAAGGGGATAAGAGAAGGGGGGATGAGATAGAAGGGAGGGCAGATTTGGAGAAGGGGTATACAGAATGCATTCCCTCTTGGGGTGGGGGGAGGGATGAGATGGGGAGAAAATATGGAATTCAAAATCTTGTGGAAGTAAATGTTGAAAACTAAAAATAAATAAAATAATTTTCCATAAAAACAAAAGGGGAAACAGTAAAGGGACGCTGTGCCACATAAGCCTAATGAGTTACCACCTTCGGAAAATGAATCCATTAAACAAGAGACTCTTTGGGTCCAATACAAAAAAAAGCTGCCCTTTTTCCTAACTAAATTAATTTTTTAATGAAAATCTTGCAGGGAGAACAGCAATCATGAAAGCCTTTTTAAAATGCTCTGAAGGCTTTATTTTCCTGAGAAGATATACTACCATTGGAAGGCATGAAAATTCAGACATTATTTTAAAGGTAAGACCCCCTCCCCACCCCCCCCAAAATGTTTCCACGTAGTATAGATTCTCTTAGACCATAACCTCGTTCCTTTAGGGATTTAGTCCCCTTTCAAACAGTAATTCCTGAATTTCACCATTTCTCATTGGAATATTTGAATCTTTTCATAGCAGGTGATAGCTTTTAAGTAAGTGGTAGGCCAGGCTGGTGAGACATATCCTTCTTGAAAAATAAAGATTAATCATTTGTCGCTTAGGAGACAGTGACGGAGGAGAAGTCTCAGGGGTATTCAGGATGGTGGCAGCCACCTAGGGCTGTTAATGAGATGTTTTGAAATGGCAATTATTAGAGGAAATTTTTACACTAAACATTGAAAATTAAGATGCACTCTTAGCACACAGAAGGTAAGATAACATACAATCCCTTGGTTTTAGTGTGGGAAGCAGGGGATCAGCACCTGATTCAAGAAAAAAACACTGATTCAAGAAAAAAATCGGTTTCCATTTTTGGAAGGAGGCAGATGGTGGTAGATTGTGGCATGGCCCTCTCTATCTCGGACAGTGTTTTTCTTTTCAGATATCTTCCTAGGAGGCTATTAATGGCCTCACAGGCCTACCTTAGGACAGATCTTTTCCCGAAGTAGAAATGGATTGGGAAAAGGAGACGTCATTCACAACAGTGGACTTGCTTGGCAAATTAGTAGCCGTGTTTACATCAGGGTTTTTATGTTTGTATCAGAAAAGCCAAATGAAAGATACCCTATGTAGATTTCAGTACAGTTCTCCTGAATGTCTCCCCCGGTAAAAAAAAGTAAGCTCCCTGAGAGCAGGGAAGGGTTCATTTTTGTCTTTGCCTTTCCAGGGCAGCCTCTGGAAGAGGGAGAGCCTCTGTGTTTGTTTATAAGAAGCCCTTTCCTGATCCCTCTTTTTGCTGGTGGCTACCCTCTGTTTATTATCCCTGCCTGTCCTGTGTGTATCTTGTTTGTACATAGCTGGTCACATGTTGTCTCCACAATTAGACTGTTCTTTTGGGTTGGGTTTTGGGAGTATTTTAAATTTTTTTTGGCCCTTCTTTGTATCTTCAGCCCTTAGAACATTGCCTAGCACAAAAGAAATCCTTAATGAAGTCTGTTGACTTGACCTGACTTATTAACTCTCTCCTCCAACACAGATGGCAACCTAACTATAACTTAAGGGACCTTAGTGGCCATCTAGTCCATCTTTGTTATTTTAGAGATGAGCAAACTAAGGCTCCAGGAAGTTGTTACTTTCCCAAGGTCTCATAGGGAGGAAGCATCAGAGGCAGCATTCGAACTCAGGTCTTCTGATTCCGGATGCAATATGCTTTCTATCATGCCATGCTGTATAGAGAGCTGTAAAGCACCTTAGCAGAGCACATGGTCCCACTGCCTCTTTTATAGATGAGGCATATGACAACCATAAACTTTAGGTGACTTACTTGTGGTCGTTTAGCTAGTAAGTGTCTAAGGCTAGATTTGAACTCAGGTCTTTCTGATTCCTAAGTCAGCACTCTATTGACTATGCCCCATGGGCTCTGCATATTGTTATTATTGTTGTCATAAAAATAGCTGATTTTACAAAGTAACTTAAGGCTTACAAAACACTTTACAAACATCATCTCATCTGATTCTCATAGCAAGCCTTGTGAGGGAGTTATAGCAGATATTATTACCTCCATTTTACAGATGAGGAAACCAAGGCTCAGATGCCAGTAAATGTCAGAGGCAAGATTTTTCCCTGATTCCCAATCAGGACTTGAATTATTTCCATTACATCATTCTACCTGTCATCTGGCATTCATTCATTCCGCAGATAGTCACATTTACTTTCAGGAAGTTTGCAGTCTTAATAGACATGATGAGATAAGATACAAATTGGAATATGCTGAGTTCATAAATAGAGGTCTGTTGTTATTATTGTTCAGTCATGTCCAACTCTTTGTGACCTGATTTGAGGGTTTCTTGGTAAAGGTACTGGACTAGTTTACCATTTCCTTCTCCAGCTCATTTTAGAGATGAGGAAACTGAGGCAAACAGAGTTAAATGACTTGCCCTGAGTCACGCAGTAAGTGTCTGAGGCTGGATTTGAACGCAGTTCTTCCTGACTCCAAGTCTGGTGCTCTATCTACTTTGCTACCTAGCTGCCTTTGCACCACCTAGCCTCCTCATAAAAGGGGCATAAAAGGAAGACCAAATAGTAACTGACCAGAAGTGGGGAGATCGCTTCCACCTAAGCCAGGGGAAATCTTTGTGGGGGAGGCAGTATTTGGGAATCTCTTTAAATCCTATACTGGAGTTTTTCTTGCAAGGATAACTAAAAGCCTACTCAGCTGTGCTGGAGGCTCGGAAGAACTGGTTGTTAAATTTTCAATGTGATAATTCACACTTCAGAAATTGGCAAATGTTACAAATCATGGTTTGATTTATTGGAGGGTTCTTTTTTTTATTGCCTAGACTTAAAAGAGTGATGGAGAAAAAGCTAATAAAGGAGATTAAACTGGAAAGGGTGTCCAGCCTATTTGGAGAGCCAGTTGGTAAACATTTACCAGCATACCCCTGGGCCTACTGCAAACAACCATCATCACAGCCTATCTTTTTCACTATTCTTTTTTCAGTCTAAAATCCATCAGAGATTCACCTTTTTTTTCTCTACAGGTTGTTAAGCATTTTAATCTGCCAGGCTTTTCTTGTGTTGTTTGAATAATGAGGAAATAGGTGATGTTTCATTTTGAGCTTCTCCTATGATAATTGTACCTAAGGTATGCTATTTTTCCTTTGAAAAGAATGACCAAATGTTAGACCTGGGGGACAGGGAGGGCCTTTAGAATGTAGAATTTTAAAGTGGAAAGGGGCCTTAGAACATGGAACAGCAGAACGGGGAGAAGCTTTCATGGTCATCCAATTCAGCTTCCTCATTTCACAAATATGAAATTGAAACCCACAGATGGAGAGTCAGACATTAAATGGTTCCTCTAATGGTTACTTAAAACCTTACTGAACATGAATGACAGAGCCAGACCTAGAAACCAGATCTCCTAGTCCCCCCAAGCTAGCACACTCTCTCTACTCTCTCAAAACATCTCTATGCGTTAGCAAACACACCAGAACTTAGTCATCCAAAAAGACCTGAGTTCAAATCTCACCTCAGACATTTACTAGCTATGTGACCTCTGTCTATCTACCTCAGTTTCCTCAAGAGTATCTACCTGTCAGGGTTATTGTGAGGGTTAATCAGGATAATAATTGTAAAGGCTTAGCACAGTGCTCAGCACCTAGTAGATGCTTACTAAATGTGACTTTTCTACCCCTACCCTTCCCCCTACCCCTCCTCCTCCTCCTTCTTTTCTCCTTGGGAGACTATACTTCTACTGAGAATGTAATTTCTGAGAATTGTTGGAATTCCTCTTTGGAAATTTCCTTCAGAAGCCTTAACACATTTTTGAAAATGTCTGCAGTAGGGACAAACCTCAAATTCATTATGAAAATAGAACTCATTATCTTTCTCCTCCCTCCCTCCCCCTCTCCTCTTCACTTCCCTGCTTATATTGACAACCCCCCCCTTCCAGTCACTTTAGTTAACAACTTTGGCATCCTTAGCAATTCCTTTCTTGCTTACCCCCATAACCAAACAGTTGTCACATCTCATCACCACCGTCCCTGCATTTCTTTCATAGGTCACCTTCTCTGTATTCACACTCAGTCCCCACCATAACTCAACCCTCACTGCTTTCCCTGCTTCCAGCCTCCCCCCCCCACTCCATCCTCCAATCAGCTGCTGAAGAGATCTCCCTAAAACAAGGGTCTGATTGGGTCACTCCCCTTCTCAATAAACTCCAATGGCTCCCTATTGACTCTTGGATCAAATGTCACTTCATATGTATCTGATCCTTTTTAAATTTCTATTTTCTGTGTAGGTTTTTAAATAGACACAATTAGTAGTCCAGTGGTTTTTTGTTGTTTTTCTGTCGTTTATAGTCATGTCCAACTCTTGGTGACCCCCATTTGGGGTTTTCTTAGCAGAGGTACTGGAGCAATTTGGCATTTCCTTCTCCAGCTCATTTTACAGAAGAGGAAACTGAGGCAAAAAGGCTGAGTAATTTGCCCTGGGTCCCACAAAAAGTAATTGTCTGAGGCCAGATTTGAACTGGCACACAGTAAGTGCTCACTGACTGATTGCCTGACAATCTTAGCTCCATTAGAATGTGAGCTCCTTGAAGGCAAGCACCATGTTTTCACCTTTCTTTGTATTCCCAGCACTCAGCACTTAATAAATACTTTTGACTGACTCATTGACAATAAAAAACATCACTGAGCATGAATCCCTAATATACGTCTATTAGTTACAAGTGTATTATTGGACATGGGGCAGCTAGGTGGCACAGTGGACAGAGCGCCAGGCCTGGCATCAGGAAGACCTGAGTCAACGCCCTGCGGACCTTCTCTCCCAGGCTACAGAAAGTTCTTTATCCCAGAAGCTCAATCCAGCCCTGGGCTTCGTCCCTTGGAAAGGCTCTCAAGGCTACACTCAGGACTTTTTCATAGTCCTCATCTCACCTGATCTCATTTTGCAAATGAGGAAACCAAAGTCAGAGCAGTTTAAGGACATTGTCTGAGGGTACATAGGGAGTAAGCTTCAGAGGCAGGATTTGAACCAGGTCTTCAGATTCCAAAGACAGAGCAATTCTCATTTTGTGTGTTATTCCATTGTGTTTGGAGGTTCACCGGAAGAGTAATTCATTGACTTGAACTGACTCCTAAATGCAGTGTTGTTTCCTCTGTAGCACCTTGTCCCTCCAGTGGGTGTGCCATTTGAGGTGTGGTCATCTCAACTGGACTTTCTTGAGTCACCCCAAATGGCACTGCCTGCAGACAGTTCTTGAGGATGAAGTCATTAGTTCCCCAGCTGTTTGGGTCAAGAGTTCCAGTGTGAGAATTCAAGGTTGGCTCCCAAGCTCATTTGAAGGCATGAGTTCTGATCTAATCTCAAATTAAGCTCATA